AAATAATACAATCGCTGTAATAATGTTTAATTATTTAATTTGTTCATTAAAAGTAATTTATTACAAATTGTTTGCATACTTCAATTTTTATCACATGTCATAATTTAATTCAGTTGAAATGCTAACGTGTTTGTTGTTTAAAAATGGTAATGATAATATTTATATTCATATTCAAAAAGCTATCTTGGAAATAAAAATTAGTTGTTGATGTATCCAGACTTTTGTTGGTGTTATTCAAAAACATTGGGCTTAAAAAAGAAAACCAAAAAGTTTTGGAAAACGTTAACAATATGATGATTTCCCACATTTACATGAATTATTTATATTTTTAATTATTATTTTTTAAAAAAAACATAAACAAAAGAATTAGTGATCTTACATTTAATAACCTTGATTTGTTTTTTCCTTATAAAATTTCAAAAAAAACTCATATCTTGATCATAAAGATATAAACTGTTATTATATATTTAATATGTTGACAACTTGTTATTACTTGACACACAATATTTATGCTATCTGTATAATATATATTTGATCTTACAGTAATTACAAAAAAAATGAATTATAAATAATTATAAATACATTAAAATGTAGTTTTAAAGTATGTTAATAATTAGTAGGTATTTTGGGTTTAAAATACAAATACAGAAATTAAAATTAATGTGAATTGCTTGATTTGTTTTTGTAATTTATTTTATTATGAATTCATTAATTCTACATATTCTAATAATGGAAATAATAAATGGAAAAAATAACACTTGTGCTCTAATGTTTGTCAATAAAATTACTAACTTTAAACACGATTTCTCTGTAACTTTATTATTGAAATGTTTGAAATAAACAATTTCTCTGTTGTTCACACGTTTTCAATATCTTTTTTAGTCACTTTAACTTTTAATAATTTGGATTTAAATTTGCATTATTATTCAATGTTTTCAAAAAATTAACATATCAAACAAAAGACTTCAAACGAAATTTCTGTTGATCCCCTAAGGCAATTAGATAAGTAAACCAAACGAGATTTGATTTGTGTAGATATAATAATGATCATTTTAAATATGTTTATGTATGCTCACGTGGCCATTTGCTAATTTCTAAAAATGAAACTTGTTCATTGTAGAGATGAAAATTAATAACTACTTCAAATTCGTGTTAGAGTTTAAAAAGAAAAAATGTATTTACTGAAATATAACTTAATGTGCTTTTATTAAGTTGGCTTGACAAGAAGCTTCTGAAATGGCAGATCATAAAAAAGAAAAAACACCGATTTTTGAATAAAATGCCAAATTTATGGAGTATGAATAAATAACTAGACTCAATTTTAACCTTAGATAAAGGGCGAAACTGTTATACATTTTAAAAATAAAAATGATATAATTAATTAACTTATAAATTCCAATGACGTTTAGCTTAAATTATTTAAAACTATTTAATCATATCGTTTGGGTTTTATAAATATGAATTTTAATTTATTTTAATAAATTGGATAAAATCGTTGAATTGGTAATTAAAAATGAATGAAGATCAATTTATTTCATTGATTGTCACTCAAGAAAAATTTGAGTGTATCTTCTAAATCGACTTTACCATCTCCATCACTATCCATTGCCGCCAAAGCTGTCTTCAATTCTTCTTCATTTAATTCAGTTTTCAAGACTCTC